TTGATGTTGGTGCATTATTGCATGAAGTCTAATTACTTTATGCAGTGCTGTTTGTAACAACAACAATTATATTAGAGTTGGATTTCTCATCGTCTAGAAGAATATCACTACCGATATAATAAGATTTAGAATTCTCATTGTCTAAAAGAGTATGACCATCGAGTCGGTATAACTCAAATTTATCTTCAGGATATTTATTGATTCTACTATAGTCGTTGAGTTTTTTAAAAAATGATATGTTGCCAACTTCAACAACTCTTTGTGGTCATTAGTTTGACGTGACAGAATCGTCTGAGTGAATTGTCGATTAAACAATTCAAATTAGAAATGATGTCGAATGCTTCAAGCAGCAGTTCCATAATTAATTTGTCTGATATTTAGAGTAGAAAATTTAGGAAGGAGAAAATGAAGGTGAAGAAAATTAATTAACAACCTATAATCCTTATATATGCTATTAAATTGAAAGTTTCATAAATATGCAAAATTGTTGTAATATAAGTATATAACCATAACGGTTACGGGTAAATTGGCGTCATGGCCGGCACTAGGAGGAGGCACCATAGGCCCATGCCTAGGGCTTCCAATTTTTAGGGGCCTCAATTTTTTTTTTAATGTTTTATATATTTGTGTTTGGTTTTGTTTATTTATACAAATAAAAGGGTTAATGGCTAAATATGAACTTAGCACATTACACACATCAAGAGGCTAATTAATGAAAGGGCCAATAGCGAAATACGTATTTTGTGTAAGAATTTGAGGCCCTAAATATTTTATTTGTTTTCTTATTATGTTCGGTCAGAACAAGTTGTGTGAGAATATAAATATTCTTTGTTGTAATATGATTTTTATTTTCTCCTCCTTGATGTCTTCGTGACTGCTTGAATGCAATTTATAACTTATTAAAGGTAATTTTTTCAAAGTCTAGAAAAACAAGAAAAATCGTTTTTTTTTCAATTATTTATTTATTTAATAATCTTCTTTAATTAGATTTTTTTCTTGTATGATTTTATCTACAAATAGCCCTACCACGCAAATTCAAATCGGAAAATTCGAAAACGTAAAATTTGCCTGGGGCCTGCAAATTTATGGAGACGGCTCTGATTGGCGTTGTTTAGATTGGGCTACATTTTTTCTATTTTTTTATTATTTTTTTTCATATAATAGAAAAAATGCATTGCATTTTTTGCATTACTTTGTATTATTTTTTGCATTCCTTGAAATCTACCAAGCAAACTCATGCATGTAATCATGTTGCTTGTGGTCCATTACAAATGGAGATTGGGGCAAAACTCGAATTGACCCAACGAAGAGCCAAGAGCCCACATGTCAGGAAATGGGCACGAAGCTGATGGAAAAATGTATTGCATTCAATATATGTGGAGCATGCCCAACTAAAACCCATAGCCTCATGGGGTTTTTAGAAGTTGGCATTAAATTCTATAACGATACAAGAGATGCCCTTGAGCAAATCCTTAAATGAAAAAAAAAAAGAAAAGAAAAAAAAGCCGTATATGAATATTAATACTAAATTCCCAGACAAAATGTCGTATATGAATATTATTAATTACTAAATTCTCAGATAACATTTTGTTTAATGCGTTCTACCTGAAAATTTTATTACATGCAGTATGTACCTTGCAACATATGCTGGACCAAGATTTAGGTTCTATTGAAAATACTAGCAAACCTAGAATTTGGACCCTTATTTGTTATCATTGTGATGCGGTCAAACGACCGGGCAAGTCGATCGGCTATATATATTTTTTTAATAATACAACATATTAATTTATATGTTTGAGATGATTTTTTTAATGCGGTCAAACGACCGGGCAAGTAAAATATGTGTGTAACAAACATGGTTGTACAACGGTTAGATATACATAGTAAAATCAATGTTTGTGTGAGGCGGCCTAATCGTTAAGCATGTTGATCTGTCATATTTTTTTAATAAAAATACATATTTATGTTACATAATGTTATATATTTGTTTATGTTTGTTTTTAGGATATTATATTAATTAAGTTTAAAAGTATGCATATCGGTTGAAAAAATATAACTATCTAATCGTTAGATTTACTTAACAACGGTCTTCCTATATCTAATAAGGGATATAAACATTTTTCTCTAATAAATATACTTATATAAGTAAAAACAAACTAACTAAATGACACTTTATAAATATTGCATTTTATTATAAAATTGTGCAATTTGTAAGTAAAATATGACCATAAAGCCAAAAATAATGCTCCGACTAAATTGGGACCATTGAAACGATTGGCAACTATTTCTGTGATTCGATTTTAGTTGACTGTAGCTAGGAAAATAGTTTTGACTTAACATATTGCGTGTGGACTAACAGTATAGGATAATATTGCCAAATCCTAAGAAGATTATTGTAATGGCTAAAAATATTTATTAATATAATTATTAAACTTCGGGTAGAATTAAATGATAAGCTATATAAGAAGATTAAATTACTAAAAAGTACAAAAATGAACTTTCGTAAAAAAAAAAGGGTCGAAAATACATAAAATTTAAAGGCTGCAGAAGTTTAAGTATAAAAAACTTATAACTACAACATAAATGACTTTAGGTAGCAGCATTTATTGTAATACTTTACAAATGTATCATATTATTGGTTTATGTATCATATTATTGTAACACTTTTAATATAAGTGTTACAAAAAATTAGCAAAAGTATCATATAAGTGGTATCAAAAACTACCAAAAGTATTACCTTTAACTTTATGGTAGCACAAACAATTGCAGCGCCAATATTGTGTTACCTATTGTCTATAGTAACATTTTATAGTTTTTACGTAACATTTTATAACTTTTACGTATCATTTCTTTGGTGCTACCTAAAGCCATTTATATTGTAGTACTGTAATATGTTCATTCCAATCAAATAAATCTTATTCGACTACATAATTAATAAGTTCTTGCACGTCAAATGCACAATAAGATCACAAAATTTACGACTATATTTGGTAAAACTAGCTGATAGCTGATAAGCTAGCTTATAACTTATCAATAATTTTCGAGTTTATAGCTTATGAGTTATAGCTGAAAAGCTAGCTTATATGATAAAAGTGTTTGGTAAAATTAGCTGATAAACTAGCTGAAATAAAATTTTCAACTAGCTTATTTGAAAAGCTACTCAAACAAGCTTATGAGATAAATTCGAGCTTTTTAAATAAGTTTATTCTACCAAATGAAGCTTATTTAAATACAGGAGCATAGCAATCAATGCCTACCAACAAACGTTTCCGACATACAATGATTTTAAATAAGTTTATTTAAATAAGATCACAACGTTATTTGAAAGATGAAATTGTCATCAATCAATGCCTACCGACAAACGTTTCGGACATACAATGATTTTATCTGCGTTAGTGGCAGTTCAAATACACAATATTCTGTGAGTTTGCCTCTTTATGACAATTTTCGTCTTTCAAATAACGCATTTCATGTGCCTCCACTTTAATCAATTTTACATTTTCTATGTTCGAGTTCATTGAATTTAAGATATATACACTTGGTTATTTTGTCTACTTATATATGCTTTCTGCATAAAGCATGTTGTAAAGTGTGTAGCGCAATTTGAGTAAAATTCTATCTGCATTAATTACATGCCACTTTTGGGATTTTTTTTTTTTTCTAACAAAAAAATCATGCAGCATTAAATGCTGCCCTTAAAATGTGGGATTTGTTCAATCACAAAAGATTTGAACACATTTTTAGAGATTAAGACCCTTATTTTAAATTAAATTTCAAAATACAGTCAAAATTTATATAACCGACTAAGATTTGTAACATTTTTTAATACAAATAGACATTCAAATAGAAAATGAGACTTCATTTCCAGTATTCATTTTTTCGACTGAATAAAATTCGAATTTCGACCGAAAATTGAAAATTTATTCCAGATCCATCCATTAAACTTACGAAATTTCTAAAATCGACAAAAAAAAGCAATATGAATCAAAATAATTGAACAACACATTACATAAGTCTCGATATTCAAAAGAAAAGCTTTTGAAATGGTCGAAATAGTAATAACAGAGTCAATTTTTCATCGATTTCGACCAAAAAACAAACATAAAATCTTAGAACACACAAAAAAATATGACAATCAAAAGGAATAAAATAATAGAGGCATCTTTCTAAACATAAAGACAAGATATAATATCGATCTATCTAACATAAGAAATCGACTCGCAGTAGATGTGATTGATTGTTTAAAAAATAGAGCATTTTTGTGAAAATTTGAAAGAATATTTTATCAAGTTTCTATAAGTGATATAAGAGAGAGAATAAAGAAGGCAAGCGGTGGGAGGAGGAGAAGTAATGACATAACCCTAATAATTTGGATATTTATAACTTTTTTAGATGGCATCTTTGATTTCTGACCGTTAGACATCGGTTGACTAATTCAGACCGTCTGATCCATTCTTTTAAGCCATAACGGTTGAGATGTTGGGTCGGACTTATTGATTCGGTCTGCTTTCATGGTTGGACTTTATTTGGGTCAATTCAATAATATGTTATTGGCCCGTTAAGTTTGACCCGACCAATTTAGTTGAGTACATTATATTGTGAAACATAATTGGGCTTCAATTTTTTTTTTTTTTTAAAAAAATAGACATGCTTCACTATATAAAAATAAATAAATATATAAATTCCATAAATTATTATAGCCGTGCATAGCACGGATTACTCAGTGTAATAATAATAATAATAATAATAATAATAATAATAATAATAATAATAATAATAATAATAATAATTTTTGAAACCTTGCGTACTCAAATTTTCACACATGACATCATAATTCTCTTTAAAAAAGGTATCAATAGTGATTTCTCACTTACGTGACTCAAACTCGAAACACATTTATAATTGTTATTTAATATTGTTTATCCGTGCATTGCACGGGGTACGCATTAGTTATATATATAAAGCAACACATTTTACTAACTTAGAATAATAAAAGGGTACAAAGACAAACGGAATATGATTTTTTTTTTTTCTCGATATACTTAGCTGTAGTTATTTAAATTATACAAAGGCTACAAATGATTAAGCACGAGTGCTTATCATTTGATGATCTCAATGATCACTTCATAATATATCGTAACACAACATATACAATCTACAAGTGAAACAAAAAATTAAAAAAAACTTCCTCAAGTGGCATCATTTGTGCAATGCTGTCCAAACACCTATACATGCATCACTTTTTAAGACAATCTTGGTCTTCTTCTTCTTTTTGTTTTGTTTTTAATAAGCAATTCTTAGTTGTGTATAGGTGGTTTTCTTATTGCTAGAGAATAATCCATTCCACCTATGTCTAAATCCCCTGAATAGGTTTCGGGCGAAGAACTAACAGAGATATTATTTTCGGCTTTGCCTCCTAAGTTTTGGTTTGTTGTGGAGACCTTCAACTTGGGATGGTTTTCTTCATTTTCGTCCTTCTGTAAACAAACCGCGCAAAACCATGTAAGAAAAATCTTGTATTTGCATTTAGCTAACGCTTTTCAAAATTAGTTGTACAAGTATATTTTTACTTAATACTGTAAATCGTCGATACTTCTTAAAACAATGTTAGTATTTATTTATTCACACTTCTTAAAACAATCGTCGATATATGTTATTATCGTGCCGATTATAGAAACACGACTAAAACAACCAACCTTGCCGATTGTGGTAAAAGTCATCATTGTTAGTTTTCTAACCTTTCCTGCAAACAACAGCATATGATTCAGACGAGTATAAATTCGGAGACTGGTAATTTCAAAATTAACACCACAGTATTTCTTCATTTCGATGAAAAAAACATGTGCTACAACTCGAGAAAATTTCAGAAAAAATCAAAGTGGGGCAAAACATCACTATCCATCATTAATTGATGACTACTACTTATATCGAAAA